AGAAGTGCCGCTTCCAGAATTAAGGCCACTCTGATCTAAGGTCTATGTTTTTCAAAATGCTGGACAAAATGCAAGTGGGAGGTTTGGCTCTTGCACACTAGATATTTTAAAGCTTTTATCAGAAGTTGCTGAATTACATTTCGTACTGCTGTAGATGAAAGATCTTATCAAAACCAGTCAAGTTACATTGTTAGCACTATGGCCGAGTCTCTAAGAGCATGATCTACCTGTTCATTTGGCGTAAGGATACAGAGCAACATTGTCTGATGGAGAACTGCACACAGATACTTAGTTTAAATTATCATTTTAAAAAGTCAAACAGGTCATTCCACAGGCATTAATATTGCACAGATGTAGCAGTCATTCCAAAACTTGTTATATGGGTAAGAAAATACGGATTCACAGAAGTGACCCACCCCCCAAAAGCTCTTAAATGACCCCTGTCAGGAACAGCTTGGTGAAGGACCAAACCTAATCCGACATACTCCACTAAGGCAAGAACATTTACTGTTTACCTGCACAATGGGCCTAAAGAAGTGTTTAAACTGCTCCAAAATGACTGAAGAAGGAAATGCTGGAGTAACCCAAGTCTGTTAGAAAAGGTCACTGTGTACATGTTTAGAATTCCTTGTCACTAGCACTGTTGTCATGCAGCAGAAGGCTCCTATCACATCTACACTCAATCTCCTCTTTTACTAACCCAATTGCTTTACCATTCTAAGCACATAATACAAACAAAAATACCCACACCATATTAAATTTGTATGGCAAACTTTCTCCAATTTTCACAGCTCCTGAAAAAGTGGGTAATAGTACCTATGACAAGATTTAGACCTTCTGAAAATGCACTATATTCCTTTATAGACAGTTCTACAACAGAAAGCCGAGAGCTGTTTTTCCTTGCCTTCTGAAATCTGGTAACAAATAAGAAATCACCAATCTTTTATTTTATAAACACAGGAAACAATTAGCAGCTTATAATAGCATCAAATATTTCTGTCCACGTCTGCACACTCACTCAATAGCTATGGCACAAACATGAGTGCCTCAGCCAGCTGTTACACTGAAGTGTGATTCACACTGAAGTCATTCAGAGATGAAGAAAAATTGTTACAATTCACCAGTGGCAGAATCAGGAAGTACAGTGAAGGAGAACACCCCTTCCCATCATATCACATCACAAAAGACAGCTCTACCTCCTATGTTCTTCAAGCCATTTGTTGACTCAGATTTGCTGTGCAATTTTCAGATGTACATCTATTAAGTTCCATGGTCTAGCCACACGCAGAGGGTTTAAAGGTTCAAGACTTCTTTATTCTTACATTTAACAGTATATACCCTTAGTACATATGGGTATTATAATTAAAGACAGCAACGGATAACAAAGGAAAGTTATTTTTGTCTTGCAGGCATTTCCAGTCATTATTATCACATAGGAGAAAAGGCAAGTAATTCTGCCTTCATTTGGTCAGGATAACTATCTTGAAAGAAAAACTCTTACAGCTGCTTTGCTCTATCATCTGCAATTTAAGCTCCTTAATGTATATATAAAAATAAAAACTAAGATGTCTGCCAAAAAGACTGTCAATACAAAGACTTTTATCAAGTACTCTCTTTCTCTTTCCTGCTGTTGGCCCTGAGAGCTATCCAGAATGCAACTTTCTTCAGTTCCATGGTTTCCTAACAAGGTCTGTTTTAAGAAAGAATTTTTCTATCCACAGACATTATCATCCCACATACTTTTATATATGTATCTGTATGTCACTGATTTAATGAACCAATATTTAGGGGTTTTTTTCCTTAGCTGCATACATACAGTATAAACAATTATATAAACTATATCTAATGAATAGGAATTAAATACTCCCTTTCAAACAAAACAAAACAAAGACACTCAAAGGCAAAACTTTTCCCAAGTGACCAAAACTTCACAAGTCCTACAGCCTTTATACCAATAGAGTTGTCACAATACACAAGGTGGCATTAGTCAAAATTTTTTAAAAATAGACCATGAAAATTCTGAGCTTGATTTTCACCAAACAAACAAGCAAGCCTTGTTTGAAAGGCAACCAAGGGAAACAAAGCCTCAGGCAGGATGACTTCTTTGAGAGGCTGGTACAGCAGAATTGACATTCCTGCCCACGCTCCTCCCTAGCACCAAGATGTCACTTTCAGGGGGGCCAGGACAGATTTTGATCTCATTTACACCCTGTGTCAACAACTATGTCCACCTACACTCACCTGGCACAACCGCTCCCGCTGTGCTGTGGCACACACATGAAGACTGTTTTCTCAGTATTTTAAAGGGCATATTTTACCCCTTAGGGGTAGTGGTACTGCCAGGAAAAAGCATATAATAAAACAGAAGAATATGTAATTTGCCTGGACTTAGGGACAAAATGGAAGAGGGAAAAGAATGTTCAAAGTTAAACACACTGTTCTTTCACACACGTTAATTCTGGAATGCAAGAATCCCCTTTTTATTAGCAGTAATATGGTAGGTCATTCAGCCATTAAATTCCAAGAATGTGCCTGTTAACAAGTCTGCTGATTAGGATTAATTAAGGGGATGGCATTTTTCACATTGTACGCGATCAGAGTTTAGAGGAAGTATGAAAAATGCAGAAGAAATCACAGCTCCTACAACAAAGGAATCAAACTTCAGATGCCAAAATATTTTACACAAAACTCCTTTTACTTAAAGAATCCTTAATTTGTGTAGAGTTAAGTCAGGCACTAAACTCATCTAGGTAGACTACCCTTAATTTCTGTCCCAGAAGAGATGAAGTGCAACAGAGCATATGTTAGGAATTCACCTGCATCTGAAATCTACCATCACCAGTGCTCTGAAACCTAACCTGATGGGATTTTTTAATGGTAAAAATCCTACTAAGAAATAACTCTGTTACTAAACTTTCAAAATATTTTAAGTAGTGGAACTTTCCAATAATCCAAACTCAAAACTTAAATTCAAAAGAAACAAAATTAGTCTCAATATAATTCATCTGCCCCATGGGTATGACAAGTCTTCATTTCTAAGAATATACTGGCAGCTCTGGAATTTAAAATATATGCCTTATTAATTACTGTAGTGAAAACCAAACAGATTAAGATGTAAAAAATTATTTATTTCAATTTTTTATACAAAAAGTCAAAACAGCTGAACATTAGTACTGACAATATCGAATATTTAATAGCAAGTATTTCTAACATCACTTTACAAAAAAGTGTTTAAAATTGCAATATTTAATTTTTCTTATGTACATTTTCAACTGACTAGTGGCTAATCCAGTCATTTTAAATAATTAAGAGTTTAACAGACACAGTAAATTACATTGAAACTTCTGACCAGAGCCTTGAGATCAGCCTGAGGAACCAACACTACTTCCTTCTTATTTACATATAATTATTACCCACTGAGAAAATTACGCAAACTGAAAGCGGGTTTTTGATACATAGTTTTAGTGAGCAAAGAAAAGTCAATTAAGAGTATCTGCTCTTTTATTCTATGGCTACTACATATGTTGAAAAACAACCAAGACCAAGAACACAACAAAGATCAGCATTCCTTATGTTCTGCCTCAGTATGTGCCAGAAGAGACCCTGCAGCACACCAGCAGCATTCTCACACTACCTGAAGGAGGTAGTGACATCCAAAGTCACCTCCTGTCTTTTGGCTCTCGGAACCTTGAGCCGCATATTTAGTTTAACAATATCATGCTGCTTCTTGACATAAAAATCAACACTAGGTGTAAGAAGGATGCTGAAAGTGAGAATGGCACAGGAGAGAAAGAACAGACTGTATTTTTCAGCAAGCAAAAGCTTAGTTGCAACCTAAAGCTTTACTTGAAAAATATACTCAAAAAATAGTATCAAGATTTTTTTCTCTTATAAAAATAGAGCACTGTTTTTACATTTGAACTCTAACTCCACAGAGGAGTAGACTTCATAAAGCACAGACTGGTGATCACATGTACCTGAAAAGAAACCATTAAATTGCTCTCCTAGTGCTCTACTAAATCAGTGCTGAAGAGACTTTGACAGTTCTGAGCCAAAAAGCAATAATCAGTTTACTCTTGTGCAGTCATACCTCTTTGGCATTGAAAATTGTTACTGAGAAATGTCTCCAGCTTCAAAAGAACTATTTTCATCAGAGGAAGACGAACCCAGGCAATGAGTAATTTTTGAGTGATACTACAACAAAAGACCCTCAGGTTCATTAGTTAACATTACTGAACAGGCAGATGTTCCACAAGCAGGACAGCCACTGTGTGATAAGCAGCCACTGGGCAGTCTGTTACAACTAATTCTTATCACATACAAGCTGTAAATAAAGTGGCGTGTTTTAAGGAAGACTGCAACACTACAGGTTGCATTAAACTCCTCAGGGTGAGGATAGATGCAGTATTGCTGAATAGCTTAGGCCTGGAGCTGTGTGATCTAGCTGTTGTCATTCCAAACA